TAAAAAGGAACTAAAATATATAAAATTTTTCTCTGTTGACCTAAGTAGGAGTTGATTTAATTTTTTTATGTTACTTGTTAAATATAGAAGAGCTTTAGTTGGTTACTTTTAAAGTGGGAACAAGTATAATGACAGGTAAATGTAAGCATATACTTTGATTTATTGTTAAAATATCGAAGGCTTTCGATATATATATATTGCAGGTAACAAAACACAATAAAATTGCATTAATTAGTGTTTAAAATAGATGTGTTCATTGTTTTACCACGTTTGAATCATTATTTTGCATAAAAAAAGGAGAAAAGTACACCAATAGAATTTTTTTAAAATTTTTTTTTTAAATTTTAAAAAACGTAGGTGAAGAAAGTCACTATAGCTATTCATTTCAATATACCAGGACATTTTTAATAGCATTTTTTCACATTTCTATAAGTATTACATTACAAAATGACTTCAACATTGCAATTCACATAATTGATAGCTTTCTTTTGATTTTATTTGACACCAAAGATAAAAAAAATAATATTTGTTATAGAAATGTACCAAATAGACGGATAATTATTAAATTCTTTTCTGTCTTTTTTTTAGCACATTGAAGATAAAATTTCTTTGATGCCTTTTATGTTAGAAACATGCCTTCAGAATGAAAAATTGTCAAAATTCTTAATGTTTTTTTTAAAAAGTTTAAAATTCTTAAATTTACACAAATGACAAAATGATCAATTTTGAACATGGTGCTTTACAGGTTTTGTTAATCGAACTCGCCATTTTTCACAAAACAAAATTAGTCAACGTTGAAATTGTTAAGCAATATGTAAAATAGTTAGCCATTGAGAAATAATACAATATCAGTAAAGTAAAATGTACTTTTTTTCTCAGTTAAATAAATTAAAAGGGGTAACATCAAATTCTAGATTGTTATGACATCTCAGCTATTTCATTTTTGCAAAATAAATATATAATTAGTATATAATTACAAGATTCAATTATTTAATCTTTTTGGAACAAAATTCTAATAAAAATTAGGTTTGAGTAAGAGAAAAATTCCACAAACGGTTTCTCTGCTCTTTACGTTTGAAAATCGGGACGCCTATTTCTCAACAATTTTTCGATCTTCTTTGTTAGTAATTTTAATAAACTTCATTTAGTTTTGATTGTCTTTTTGTTAGTTTATTAGGGATATTTATTTCCAAAATTTCCGGTGACAGTTTTAAAACTTGTTATCAGCAAAAACTACATTTGAAAAAAAAATCGAATTCTAATACTAAAACTTCCACCCATCAATCGGTTAAATGAAAATTAAGTGGAACACAGTGAAATATAAAATGGCACCATGAATGCCATATTAACTCTCCAATTTGACGTCGGATTAAAAGATAAGCGATTTATTATGAATATAAACAAGCATATTGTGTTAAAATAAAATAAACAAATAGTTATTTTAAATACCGTAAAATCTGGCGTATACGCTCACTTCTATTCTTTTTAAGCTGGGGGTACTATTTTTTATTTTTGAGGTATATTCAGCCGCTATTACGCGCACCTTTTTATGAAGGAAACCTTTAGAAATGCACTGTTAATTATCCTGAGTGTGTAAATCTTTTATTTTAGGTATTTTTCCCAAGTTTTTGAAAAAAATTGTGTACTTCTATAACTACAGACTTTTAAGTTCATAACGAATGTCATTTCTTTCGAGTAAACGCTATTTCGAAAAATGTACAAATCTATTTTTTTTATATTCATCTCTTTTTTTTATTTTTAAAGCTCTTACTTTTATGTTGTTGTTGTTGTTTCTTATCCCCCAGATGTGTGTAGCCTCCATAAAACCAAAAAATCCAGAAATAAAATGGGATTTCTTGAAACTTCGTCAAAAGTAAAACTCAAACAGTTAAGAATATGACTCAGGGGAGTGTCAGCCACGCATCTATGACACTCTGGAAAGACTTTCCGGCCCTATTCAAAGTAAGAGACTTAATGTGGCCACTAAAAAAGCGCGATAGAGCCGTCTGCCGATCCCTAGGAATATTAAGTTGGTGACACCAACGAGGTTTTTCCCAAAATACCAAGGGTAAGCAGGGGGCACTCTCCAAAGTGCATTCAATTCCATCCTTTTAATAGAGGAGATTTCAGCAAAAGTTAGACATGTGTCACCTCGCAAGGCGTAAGCAGTGGCAGACTTGGCTAAACTAACGGCTATCTCGTTACCATTCAATCCAAGATGGAAGGGGATCCATTGAAAGTAAATATAGTGTCTAGAATAAAGGCAAACTACAACATCCAGAATATTCAGGCTTGTCATATCCCCAACAGTTGTCCAATGAGAAAGGTGTTGTATAGAAGCATGGCTGTCAGTTAAAATCCAAATATCCCTGAAGACAAGGACAGAAGCATTGTCAATAAATTTCAATCCCTTATATATTGCAATAAGTTCATACCTAAATACAGAACAGTAGTTAATATTTCTAATCTTGATCTCAAATGTACCATCAGATGTCTTCAATGTGCACGCTGCCTCTAGAAATACTACCGGTCGCCCATCCTGCCATCATGTAGAAACTTTTATACTCGGTGAAAAAGCGCACCCGTTAATTTCGATCTTATTTTTTGTGTTAAAAGTACGCGTTATACGCCGGATTTTACGGTATATGAAAATTTGAAAACAGGTTTGAAACTGTACACTTTACTCTTATAATGAACTATTTTAACCCAATTGAAGAAGTGATTCTATGACCTCTGAGTTTTCTTGAAATGATGTTATCACACTAAAAAAAAACTCTTATCAATTCTTTATCACAAAAAACCGCAACTTTCTGTGTTTCCGCATATTTCAAGACTACAAAAACCACCAAATGGTTGGGTGAAAGTTAGATATGACTTCATTTTAAGAAAAATGGCAAAATGTAATCAACTTTAAACGTCTCTGATTAAGGTATCCGACTACCCAAAAATCATGATTTTTTTAAAAAAATTGACAGTTTTTTATTTTATGATTTTATTTTATAGGCCATCTTATTAGCTTTATAAAAATACTATGGCTTTTTATTTTCCATTCACTAGATCAAAACTACCAGTGTTTTAGTAAAAGCAGATGCTATAACTTTACATAATAGGTCAAACTTTAAAAGCGTTTTACTCAAAATGTGTTTTTTTTCGAAAAGCACAAACGGGTAAAGCGATTGCTCAAAAAGATTTTTAAATAATATACTGAAATTTTTTGTGTATATTCTGTATAACAGTAGAAGTGTTTTAACCTTCACATTAATCAATCACTGTTTTATTACAAAATTTACAGTTCTTTACGTGAATATATATCACTGTTTTTTTAAGCAATTTCATATAATGGCTAAGATAAAGTGCTCTAGTTTTTGTAAAAATTAAAATATCTCTTTATCCTGAAGGGTATTTCAAAAAGGAATAGCAAAGTAATACTTAAAAATTTAAAAATTGAGAATTCGTTCATTTACTGTTTGTACAGAGCGGGCCCGTTTATGTAATCTTTTGTCAATTTTTACTCATTTTTTCCCATTTTAGTAGTAATAATTTATTTTCTCTTCTTAATTTTAGCCTTTTTTTCTTAAAATGTGCTAAATAAATCTAAAAACAACAACAACAAAAAAATCTTCATATCTTCATTTTTTTTTAAAAAAAAAATGTCGCAAGTAGTTGGATACCTTAAAAGAAAAACGACAAAAATAAGCACTTTACTATGAAATAACTTGGTATTAAGTCCTTCAAACTGTAATTAACCAAAAAGGAATATCGTTATTAAAACTTAACACAACAAGGCCGAATTTTATTTCAAAAGTGAAAATTATAGAAGTTGATAAGACAAAAACTCTGAAATAGCTTCGAAATCTAAATGATTTGTCCGAACGGACACATATTTAAAGTGGATTACATATGACGAAAGTGGGGTTACCTAAAAAAATGCATGTGGCTTTTTCCTAAAGGTTAACTTCTACTTTTATGCTTGTAAATTACTTTGGATTTAATTACTAATTACATCAATTTAAGAACGGATAAATGATTCAAATATTTCAGTGTGGCAACAGTAATTAAGCCGAGAGAAATGTTTTTGATTACGATTTATACTGTTGCGTAGTTAAATAACCCTGGTTTTTCAATGAACAGGTGTGACACAGATTAACCATGCGGCTAAGAAATCGGAATCTGAAGAATTTCTATTAGTTTGGAATATGAAAGAAGAGACATTTGTTCTGTTTTATAAGTATTCATTAAAAAGCAATTTCGGAGAATTGAACTAGTTTGTTATTTAACTGCAATTACTGGTATTAAAAGAAATTTGCTTTTTAAAAAAAATTATTTAACTAGCTGAAATATCTAATGTTGATGAGTTGGATATGCAATATACACAGTTCTACCGTGCTTTGAAAGTTACAGAAAATTTAGAATATTTGATGAGAATACAAAGAAATGACTATTCTCAACAATAATTAAAATAGTTTGTGACTCAAAACGTACCAAGAAGGAAAATAAGTTTAGAAGAAATAGTTTGAAGACACAGATTGAAGTCTCACAACACTCTTAAAATTCTGAAATATTTCTTCCTATTTTTAGTCACTTCTTAGATTTCGGATCATATATAAAGTCATCAATGGATTAAAAAACAACTTACTTTTTTACGAGATTTCAATTAAGTTCAATAAAGATTCAGAAGAAATTCTTTAATATTACAAAATATTTTTGAAAATTACCAAGTACACCATACTCTTTACGTGGTCTTTTTTCACAGTTCCTACTATTAGTTCACACTCTCCCTATATACGTATATCTTGTTCAAATTTTCAATCGTTCATAAAATACTTTTTATTCATCCACTCAAGTTTAAACACATCTTTTAAACTTGCAATGGATGACACTTGATGTTAATACAGTTTTTTCAAATATTAATTCATTAATTAAATTTGATTAATGAATAAATAGTAACAAACACAAAATATTAGTAAAACACAATGTATAAAAAGGAAATCGCTCGTTGTGTCTCTGTAGCGCAATGGATAGTGCATTGGCAGTAGCGCACACTGGAATTTTTCAAGGGGTTGAAAGTTGACCATTCTTGTATCATGCTATTTTTGATTTTGCCGATTTTCAGGAACAAAACACAGTAAAAAACTAATTATTGAATAAATAATTACCATTAATAAAATCAATCATTAATAACAAATATTTAATTAAATTTTACATATTATATACTTAAAATTATAACCAATTAGAAAAAAATCAAGGGCTTTAGGGGCGGACTCCCAGGACCCCCTTGTGTGCGCCACTGTGCATTGGACATCTAATCCAAAGGTCGTGGGATCGAATCCTACCTGGGATGGCCTAATTCCTGAGAATGTGATTTATGAATGAATACATAGTAATAAACAAAAATAATAGACCAGCACCATATATAGAAAGGAAAATCGCTTTCTATTTCGCTTAATATTGTGATTCTGTCATATGTATATATATCTTTATATTAATTGTAATTATTTAATAAAAAGTAACTAAAATAAATTTTTTCTTTGTCGACCTAAGTAGGAATTAAAAAGGTTTTATATTACTTGTTTACACAATTTTGAAATAACACGGTACACAAATTTAACAATTTTTTTCACACGAATTTTTTGTTCTAGCACGAATTTAAAAAAAAAATTGGAGACTCGCGCCCTTTGGATAAAGACGATTTGAACGAGTTTATGACAGTTTATGATAATAAAGAAGTGGATAAGATAGTGAGACGAAGTCGACGGTGAAGTTCAGCGATTGACAGCTGATTTAATTCGCGGGGGCTTGAAATTTGCTACAAGAATGGAACAACATTTTACTACTCATCTCATCCTGACATAGAGCGCACATTAAAATTTATAAATATAATAATCTTGTGTAGCAGGATATCAAGAATTATATAATGAACTTGAGGAACCAAAAAGACAACATCTAATAAGAGACTTGTACGTCCAGATCACCAATGTAGTGGTTAGAACCCGCGGGTTCGTAGCCTAGTAACATATCGACTAAACAAAAGTGATCACCTCTGTCCAGAGGCTATTACTGGCTTATTTAGATACCGCTACAGACTTTTTTAAAAGAAAATTTTTTATTCAAAACAATTATAAAATCCCGTGTACCACAAAGTATCACACGGGGCTCAAAGAAGTAAGTATTAATCACACATTACAAAGGAATAAAGGGTAAAAGAATACTTTGAGTCTATGAAGGATTACAAATATTCACAACAAATTCACAGAACTTTTTAAAAGCACTTCTGGTGGAAAGAAGTTGATGGAGATTCGGAGGCCAATTTATATTAAGTCCCTTGAAAGCCAGTGTTAGGATGTATCGTTCTCTTTCAAACTTGGAACACAGAAGGAGCACATGTTCTATATTTTCCTCGCCACCAATATCACAGTCAAAAGAAAATTACGGAATTAAATTAAATTTGTTCAAGTAGCTTTTAAAGTTGTCATGACCAGTTAGAAATTGGGTTATTTTGTAATTTGTATAAAAATGATGGCAGGCCAGTCTCTCATTATGGTTGGAAAAATTTCTTTGTTATATAAGCTACCTTTATTTATAATGAGATATTCTTGGTTCCAAGACTTCATCTCTCATTCTTTCTTTCATAATCTTCTTGTAAAATGATGTAGGAATATTAACGGTAATGTCAATTTTGCGCTTGGTTGCAGCCTTTGCAAGCCAATCGGCCCGTTCATTCCCAAGCAAGCCCGTGTGTCCGAGAAGAAATGAAAATCTATTGAGATGTTTTTATCTTTTAGGCTTTTAAGTTGCTTTTGGATCTCGACGATTGTGTTGTTAGATGAACAAATACACTTAAGAGAATCTAAGGAGGAAAGAGAGTCTGCACAGAGATGAGAGATAGTCTGAGATGACACTATTTTGTTCAGTGATCCATTTAATGGCGAAGTTTAAATAAAGAAGTTCAGCTACAAAAACTGTGCATTCATCACGAATTCTAAATTGAAAGTGCTCATAAGACTTTGTAACAACAAAAAACCAACAGTTGTGCTAAACAGATATACTGATGATAGCATTTTTTATCCAGTTCGAAATAAACGTGCACGCTTGTTATCAAGTAGCGATGAATAGTTGTTAGTAAGTAGTTTTATTCCTAATTCTCAATTTGAATTTTTATATGTTGTCTGTACTAACCTAAATTTTCACTGTACACTAATTTTAAATTTTTTTGTAACAAAAATGAATTACTTTGTTTTATAAATATGTACCATGGATTTTATTACTACTTTTTTGCACGATTTCTTGGGCAAATATTTAGAGATTTCTCGTCTTATACGATTTTTTGAAATTGTGGAGCATATCCCCAAATTCACCAAATGACCCATGTATTTTTTTTACACGATTTTTTTTGCTCGGTTTTCTAAGGAACGTATCTACCGTGTAAAAAAAAGAGTTGGGTGTACTTTATTGGTAAAAGCAGAAAAAACATACCCTCAATGACGCAGACTCTCTCACTTTTCACTTTATAATTGGACGAGTCGTTACCCGCCGGTGCCACTGAGTATTTGATGACATTGTAAGACTATACGTTCTGTTTTAGGTCACCGTTGTCTACAAGTCCCAAGATTAAGCTTTTGATTGTATTGAAAAATATTGTCTTCTTTTCCTGGTTTAAAAAGAACAGGGCTTGAGTTTCTAAAACAGATGCCTATTTATAAATTACGTCCTTTAGCAACCCCCTCTCGGAGTTGATTTCATCAAACCTCATTATTTATAGTGGATCATTTCTCAACAAACGGTCATATAAAACAGTGAAGTTATTGAGTATTAGCAATAGGCTAAATTCAGGTGAGGTCATTGTCACATGACGAATATAACCTTCACGCTTTTAACTGTTGCCGTTTGCTTTTTACAGAAATTTTCTTTTAAATAGTGACGTCTCTCGCGTTCTTCTTCTAACATAACTCCTAAGTTCTTTGACGGCCACGATTAATGGCAAAACTTTTCCAACCCAATACCAAGAAGAAAAACGGAACGAATATGCAAATGAGATATACTTTAAAAGGATAGAAGGTTTGGTGAGATAAGACGGCAAACCTAGAGATAACTTAGTGTGGAATCGTTCGGAACAAGTGTTGACGATCCTACAGCTCTGAAGAAGGATACGCTCATCGCAATTGAATATAATAAGGATTAAGAAAGCCTGAGTCTTCTCACCTACTATTAACATATTAGGAATTTCTTCAACCTAGGAAGGAAGGTGACTCTATAAAAGGTAATATTTTGTATAGGAGTTAGATTAGACAGTTAAATTATTATAATTAAGATAAGTGATCTAGTTGTGCGATCTGACTTGAACATTAAGTTTAATTGTTGGCTTATTCTCACTTTAAGAAAGTTGTTATTTAGAATTAAGTAAATTAAGTTATTCTTAATAAAAGTTGTGTTAAGAATTACATAATGTCTCATCATTTAGATAATCCCACACCTCTAGCTTACGCGAATCACCCCAGACATAGTCATCACAGGATGGTTATGTCTCAATAGTACATATTTGTTAGCGATAAAAACACCCAAAGGTAAACAGATTGCACTTGGTTTAAGATGGCATGTATAATACAGAAGTTTCTGTTTATTTTGCAAAACTTTTTAATGAGTTTTAATATATTTGATCATCTCTCTCTCTCTCTCTCTCTTTTTACCCAATTATCCAATCTGAAACTGTATTTAGATTTTACGAGTTCGATTTCAAGTACAAGTGTAAAGTCAGTTCTGTATTCAAAGAAAAACGCGTGATTGCATTTATCATATGACCGTCATAAATTTAGCCCATTGTAATAAACTATATGGTACATAATTGGTTAAATTCATGGGACGTCATAGTCACATGATAACTGCAATTACGTGTTTCCATTCAATCAGTTCATATGCTTTACAATTGGTAACTTTTGCTTTTTACAAAAAATTTTTTTAAAAAAATACATATTTGTCAACAATAATAACGGACATAGGTAAGCGACGCACACATGGTTTAAAAGTAAGCGTATATTACTTATAAAAGTTCTTTTTTAATTTTGAAAAGCTTTTAGAAGAACCTTAATATTTGAGCATCTTTACCCAATTATCAAATTTATCTAAATTTTGCTAGTAGAATAACAAATCTAATTAAAATTTTGAATTTAATGGAGAATATGTGATTGTATTTATCATGTGACTGTCATGAATTTAGCCCATTGTAGATCACATAAAGAATTTTGTATTGCGGATTGCAGTAATACGATTCGTTTCCCAAGATTCCAGGAGTATGATTCGTTTGCTTGGATTACAGGAATATGATTCGTTTCCCTGGATTCCAGGAGACTGATTCGTTTTCTTGGACTCCAGGAGTATGATTCGTCTACCTGAATTTCAGGTATGATTCGCATACTTGGATTTCAGGAGTGTCATTCGTTTACTTGGACCCTAAGAATATGATTCATTTTCCTGAATTCCAGAAGTACGATTCGTTTACTTGGACTCCAGGAGTATGATTCGTTTACTTAAACTCCAGGAGTATGATTCGTTTACTTGGATTGCAGGAGTATGGTTTGAACTGGACTCGAAATCAATCAGAGTTGCATTTCAAATTTTTCAATTTACAACCAATCCAATAAGGACAAGTTCAGTTTATTAAATGAAGTCACATCATGTGACCGTGGTAGCCTAGTAGTCAAGGTTACGGACTCGAGGCAGCGTTTCATGATTTCGAGCCCAGTACCACTGTCAGTGGCGCACACAAGGGGGTCCGGAGCCCCCCCTCCCAAAACCCTTGATTTTTCATACAAAGCCATTCTTCGCCCCATCATGTTGTACGCTTCTCCCATCTGGGTAGGGGCGGCAGTTACTCACCGAAAAGATTGCACACTTTTCAAAACATTCAACTGCGTAGAGCAGCAAACGCACCTTGGTTTGTCAGGAACGAAGTCTTGCATAAAGATCTTAATGTTCCGCCGCTGCTTGATTTCATCAAAAAACAATCAGAAAATTTCTTCAACCGGTTACCCCAGATTTCAAATGAATCTATCAGGGAAATCCCGGCTTACGACAATTCTATTCCTAGCTCTTCTAAGAGACCTAGAGCAGTTCTTAATCACTCGTATCAACACTTCCCAGCTCTGAAAAGGATGAGAATGTCTTGATACGAGTTAAAAAATTGTGAGCTTTATTGTTACACTAGTTATCTTCTTTTGCAAGACTTCACTCACTCTTATTATTCCCCCCCCGCGCCATGCAAGTTTTTGATCGCCTTTAGTGTGGCAACTTCACCCCCATGATCTTATTTCAAACTCCTCTACCTTTCCTTACTTTCTTCCAAGCGGT